TCTTTTTTTTGCTGGGTCTCTGTCTGGTTTGGGAACCAAAGTGATGCTGGCTTTGTAGAATGAGTCCGGAAGCTTTCCTTCGATTTCTATTTTTTGGAATGGCTTGAGAAGAATGGTATTAATTCTGTTTTAAATGTCTGGTAGAATTCCCAAGGGAAGCCATATGCCCCAGGGCTCTTATTTTTTGGGAGATTTTTGATAACTTACTTGATTTCTTCACTAGTTATTTCTTCACACTGATTTCTTCACTTCAGATTTTCTATCTCTTCCCATGTGAATTTTGATAGTGAGTGTGTGTTTAGGAATTTGTCCATATCTTCTAAGTTGTCCAATTTGTTGGCATATAATTTTTCATAGTATTTCCTGGTAAGTGCTTATATTTCTGAGGGGTTGGTTGTAATAAGTCCATTTCCATTCATGATTTTGTCTTTTTGAATGCTCTCTCTTTTCTTTTTGAGAAGCTTGGTTAGAGGTTTGTCAATTTTATTTTTTCAAAAAACCAACTCTTGGTTTCATCTGTTCACCTGTTTCTTTGGTTTCTATATTGTTTATATCTGTTCTGATTTTTATTATTTCTTTTCTCCTACTGAATTTGGGGTGCTCTGCCTCTAGTTCCTTTAGGTGCGCTGTTAGATTTTGCACTTGCACTTTTTCTAATTTCTTGAAATAGGCCTGGAGTGCAATGTGCTTTCCTTTTAGGACTGCCTTTGCCACATCCCATAGAGTTTGGATTCTCGTATTTTCGTTTTCATTTGTTTCCACATATTTTTAAATTTTTTCTCTAGTTACCTGATTGGCCCATTCGTTCTTTAGTAGGGTGTTCTTTAACCTCCATGTTTTTGGAGGTTTTCCAGACTTCTTCCTGTGATTGATTTCAAGTTTCATAGCATTGTGATCTGAAAGTGTGCATGGTATGATCTTAATTCTTTTATATTTATGGAGGGCTGCTTTATGTCCCAGTGTGTGATCTATCTTGGAGAATGTGCCATGCGCACTTGAGAAGAAAGTGAATTCCATGGCCTCAGGATGTAGAATTCTAAATATATCTGTCAGTTCCATCTGGTCCAATGTGTCTTTCAAGTCCATTGTTTCTTTAGTGATTTTCTGTCTAGTTGATCTATCCATTGTTGTAAGTGAAATATTAAAGCCCCCTATTAGCACACTCTTATTTATAAGATTGTTTCTGTTTGTGATTAATTTTTATATATTTAGGTGTTCCCATATTTGGTGCCAAGACCTTTATAATTGTTAGTTCTTCCTGATGGACAGACCCTGTAATTATTATATAATGCCCTTCTTCATCCCTTGTTACTGTCTTTAAAGTCCAGTTTGTCTGATATAAGTATAGCTACTCTAGCTTTCTTTTGACTTTCAGTAGCATGATATATATTTCTCCATCCCCTTACTTTAAATCTGAAGGTGTCCTCCAGTCTAAAATGCGTTTCTTGTAGACAGCAAATAAATGGATTTTGTTTCTTTATCCATTCTCCTACCCTATGTCTTTTGATTGAAGCATTCAGCCCATTTACATTCTGTGTTATTATTAAAATATATGGGTTTAGAGTCATTGCGTCGTTTGTGGGATTCATGCTTGTGGTGGTGTCTGTAGTATCTTGTGTTCCTTGGAACATTTCCTTCAGAGAGTTCCCTCAGGATTTCTTTAGGGCTGGTTTAGTGGTGACCAATTCTTTCAATTTTTGTTTTTTTGGACAGACTCTTATCTCTCCTCCTATTCTGAATGACAGGCTTGTTGGATAGAGGATTTTTGGCTGCATATTTTTTCCATTCATCACATGAAGATTTCCTGCCATTCCTTTTTGGCCTGCCAAGTTTCAGTAGATAGGTCTGTAACCATCTGATAGGTTTCTCTTTGTATGTCAGGGCCCTTTTCTCCCTAGCTGCTTTCAAAATTCTCTCTTTGTCCTTATATTTTGCCAGTTTCACTATGATATATAGTGCAGAAGATCGATTCAAGTTATGTCTGAGGGGAGTTCTCTCTGCCACTTGAATTGCAACATCTACTTTCCTCCCCAAGTTGGGGTAGTTCTCTGCTATAATTTGTTCAAGGACTCCTTCAGCCCCTTTCCCTCTCTCTTCCTCTTCTGGAATTCCTATGATATGGATATTGTTCTGTTTGATTGTATCACTGAGCTCTCAAACTCTTCTTTCATGTTCCTGGATCAATTTATCTCTCTCTTTCTCAGCTTCCTCTTTTTCTATAATTGTGTCTTCTAAATCACTTATTCTCCTTTCTGCCTCTTCAATCCGTGCATTAGACGCCTCCCTTTTATTATGTATCTCATTTATAGCATTTTTAATTCATCATAACTATTTTTGAGCTCCATAGTGTTTGTAGCAATAGTTTTTCTGATGTCTTCCATGCTTTTTTCAATCCCAGGGATTAGTTTTATGAGTATTGTTCTAAATTCTTGTACAGTCATGTTGCTTATATCTGTTTTGAGCAGTTCTTTAGCTGTCATTTCTTCCTGGAATTTCTTTGGAGGAGAGTTCTTCCGTTTCATCATTTTGGTTAGTTTTCTATCTCTTGTTAATTTTAAAAGTTTGTTGTACACCCTGCCCCTGCGAGTTCTGCTGTATTAATGAGGGCTCTTTGACTGTGCAGGCCTGTCCATTCAGGAAGTGTTCTTTGAATGGTGTCTCTTGGTTTCTCTTGTTGAGAGTTTGGTTATTTTGTTTCCCTGCTTGTAGCGGTATTTGGGATTCACCACCATGTGTACTTGGCTTGTATCTTGAGGTACCCTTATGAGGTTTCCTTCCCAGTGTATTCTGTCTCTTTCTCTTCCCAAACTCCTGTGTCTCATTGTCCTATGGCTTCAGGTCTTCTCTGTTTGAGAGAAGGTTGCAAGTGAAATGCACTGAGCTCCCTACTTCTCTGCCTTCTTTCCCCTCTAGATAGTTCATGCTAGCTGTTGCTGGGCCTGGTGTCTCCAGCAGACCAGCCTGGGCTTATTCACACAGAGGTGGTCAGCAAAAGGTGGCAGGCCCAGTGTAAAAGCACTTTTCAAGCCGCTGCTTGGGGCAGGTTCTCTTGATATTTTCTTGGCCAGAGAAGTCACATGGATGAGCCCAGAATCCAGGGTTGGAGAGGAACAGACAACCTCTGCACCAATCAGTGGCAGAAAAAAGATCTCTCAGCTGCCAAAGCAAGCTTCCCTCACTGCAATCCCTAAAATAAGGATTTTTCAAAACATGCATGCTATGGACACAAACAACATTGTTTAGTTTTTATCAAACTTACTTTAAGCTGGGTTCCTATTTGTAGTTTCTACTAGATTTTTGTCAAGAGCTATTGACAGGTTTTTGAAAAAATTAGGGCTACAGAAGTATGTTTTCTTAATCTTGGTTTTTAGGCATAATATTTACACTATATTACATAAATTTTGATGTTTTTAAAATTGAATTTTATTGCTACTTCCCCCATGATCATGTTTTCATGTATTTTTCTCTTCCTCTTCTCAGTTCTTCTTTATTTAGTCTGTACAAATTGGGCTCAATTGAAGGGAAACAGTCTCAGATGCAGAGTGAGAGGAACAGTGAAAACAACATGGGAAGCTGGGTATAGGAACAAGGTTAAAAGATGTCCGTTTCAGATTTTCAAATTCTTTCACAGTGATAAAAGAACGCATTCAGGAAGCTCTGAGTCTGAAAAGTACCTCATGCACCTTGACATTCAACAGATATTTATTTCATTTCTCTTACCATGTGCAAAATGGTGTGCAAGAGGAATGAGTCACAGCCCATGTCCTCAAAAGGCTTTAAAAAACTGTGAGGTGGAGATGGGAAGGCACTAATCCGGAATTTGTAAGTTTAATAAAAGAGATACACCAGAGTGTTTTGGAGCAAAGGGGAGGGAACATAGAAGTTATCTGGAAAAGAGGTGCCCAAGTTAACCCTTAACGGATGAATATATGCTAGCATTGGATGGGGAGGAGATTGAGGGCAAAGAACCTCAGTCATGAGGGCAAAATAAACAAGGCTGGGTATGACTTCAGAGCTTCAGGATTCATGCAGGTTGGTCCTGGGTGTAAAGCAAGGAGAGGTAGATTGGGGCCAACTCCCAGGGAGCACCATACACTCTGTGAAAGGGCGTGGACTTGATCCCATAGCTGATGGGAAGGCTGTGAAGGATTAATTCCAGAATGATTATGAGCACATTTACTTTGACATAATTCCATCTGACATCTGTGTAAAGAACAGAGTTTCAGGAAGCAAGAATGTGAAGAGTCATTTAGGATGTTGTTGTAGTAGTCGAGGAAGAATGAATGGCAGGCTGGCTGAGGGCATTTGGAGTGTGGCAGAGGGAATTTGCAAAGTTGCCTCTTGCTATCAATGGCCAGTGTGAATACTGATAGTTCATGCCCCAGTTATTTTTCACCCTTCTTGTGTCAGGTGCTCAATCTTGAGATACAGGCCCCATTCTGTGAACAAGAATGTACACTGCTTATCTTTGTTTCTAGGAGCAAGATGGTTGAATTCTTTCCACGTGGTCTCCATTTAGGTAGTGGGAAAATTGGTCCAATTTTTCAGGGCACTTAAGAAATGAAAAAAATATTTCTACAGTCATGTTGGAAAAGTGTCATATGTTTTTCAATTTCCCAAAAGTGTGGTCATGCCAAGTATTTTCTTACAGTCATGTTTCTATGCCTTCAAGTATTTGCTATAATGGCCTGTCCTTTTTAGATGATGAATTTCTCAATTTGACATTAATTCCTAATAGCACTGATGCAGTAATTGTAGCTGGTAGTCTTAGGTACTAATATCTGTTGTTTGAAATGAAGCCATTTTGATTTTTAATAGAACATTTTATTGCAGAATCGGGAGTTCTGCCTTTCTCAAAAAAGTCAAGCAAGTCATGGTGTTTACCGGTTGTAGCTCCGTTTAAAAAAAATAAAGCACTGACAAAATCTTTAAAATTTATTAGTCTAACTGAATTTATACCTTTTCTGGTTCTTATAGCTTTTTTTAAAATTAATTTACAGGAAAGAAAGTTTATCAGAGCTTCTTCCTAAACCTCTTAGAAATAACAGCATACCTTAATCTGAGACTTGTAAGTATCTTTTTCTTCTTTATTTAGAAAATTAGATATTGATTTTGTAGAAGAAATGGCTCCTTCAGGAAAACCCTTGACAGGAAATAGCTATGCAATCTGAGTTGACATGCAAAATTTGAATGAAAGTAAAGCACACAATCACCAAAATCTTAATCAGTGTATCTTCATCAAGTCTATCTATAGTTAGTAAGAGTTTGATTTGTTTATTTTGGCAATTTCTCTTTTTTGATGTGATTTTCATTACTTTTTCCCCTTTGTGAAAATACCTATGTATCCACATCTTTTAGAAACTGTGTAACATCAATGGGAAGGAAGAGGAAAAGCATAGGGTGTGAACACAGGAAAGGAGAAAAATTTGTATTCTGTTAAAAGTTACATGGCTTTGGATGAATTTGTATTTTATATTTACATTTTCAGTGATTTTTTTTGTAAAATCAAAGCTAGGTCTCATAATAGCTAAGGTTCCTTCAGTTTCTGAAATGCCTACTATTGTGCTTGACTCAAAATTGGCCAACTCAGGAAGAGGGAATCTGGGAGACCCTTTCTGCTTCAATTTACCAAGAGATAAAGACAAATACATCTTTTCACAGGCACTTATTTTCTTAGATAAACTGAGGAGACTCAATGAAAAAAAAACAAGCTTTGTCTCAACATATCTGTAGTAACAGCATTTAATATTTTATTCTTTGAAAGACATTTGAAATCTAATGTAATCCTATTCTAACATTAAGGCAAGTAGTTGATATACTGAGTCGAGCAGCACAGAGTGTAGGGCCTGTGGAGCAAAGACAGATTCATGAAGCAGTTAGGCAACTAAGGTCTAGAGCTGGGTGGGTTCTTTCCTAGGTGAATAAGACCTTAGCATACTTCTGGACTTCTCAACTGTACGTATTTGCGTTTGAAGGTTATTGACTAGAAATGATGACTACCTTAGATCATTTTATGATTCTAGGACATCCCTGAAACGTTGTTGCTTAGTAGTTAATAGTCATTTTATCTTGGGTAATCTATGATTACTAGAATGGCATTAACATTTGTGTAGTAGCTAGTAAGTCCAGCCAGTAGGAACTGAGACATATTTCTAACTTGCCTCATAAGATAAGATCTCAGCAAATTGTTTAATTAAAAGGTGTACTGAAATCTTAATTACACATTCTGTTGCAATATAAGTTGTTTCCTAGTTACAGGGCATTAATTTTCAGTTCCAAAGCATCCATATTATGAATCTTGTGTGTGGAGCAGGTTACCTGAATTCTCTAATGCTTCAATGTATAAGTAACATGAGGTTAAAATGCTTATATTATAGGCTTGTTATGGGGATTAGATGAGATGATGAAACAATACAAATATTAATAATAATAATAATAATACTGAAATAAACCTATACTGCAATCATAATTTCCTATCTTTACTATATTGTTTCATAGACTTTGAGGTTTTGCCCACATATTGATTTGATTTGTCAGCTTGTAAAATCTTTCAGTTATAAAATCACTGAAAGAATTGTTAGAATACAGATTGTTGGTCACATTCCCAGATATTTTTAACAGGTATCTCAGATAATTCACATGAAAATGATCTATAGGCTATCCATTGAGAAACACTAATTTTCCTTTAAAAATGAGCCACAAACTAGCTAATTATCAAATCATATGTGAGGTTTATAAAAAGTGAAAAAGGTATATAAAAATATAAACATATTCTTGGGCTCCATCTTGGAGATTCTGATTTGGCAGATATGGAGCAAGGCTTTGGAACTTATGTTTTAAACAAGTTGCCACACTGAGTTTGGTATTTGCAAACCACTGCTTTACAGCTCCAACACATCTGTAACTTTTTATTGATAAAGCTTATGACTGTGTTTACCATATGTGGATGAGGGGATATCATCATGTGTCAATGCTTCAACTGGTCTAGTTCAAGTTTCAGGGGTGAAGGGATGAGCTTGAATGTCTGCATTTGCATACATTAATCAGAGTGACAGTCTGCTCTACCTTGGTTATGTAGCTGCTTTAAATAAATCCAGGAGCCAGTCCTATAAGTTGCACAACCCCTAAATGAGAAAAGGCTGTTGGAGACCATCTAGTTTAAATCTTTTGTTTCACAGAGGAGAAAAATGAGGCTCAGAAGTCTGCCTGAGACCACAGGGCAAGATTAGAACTAACACTTGGATTTCTGCCCCCAGCTCAGTTCCATTTCCTTTGCAATTAGTTGACTTTGATTCTGTCATTTCAAACCTGTGAAACCAGCTACTCTAGTGTTGGCTTTTGGCTTCCCTGGAGGCGTAGAAAGTGCCATATGAGACAGCTTTCCTACTTAACTGCTCACTCTCTGAAAGTGACAGCTTCTTCCTTTCCATCTCCAGTTCTCTATCTTGACTACAAAGAGGCAGGAAGGCCACTGCATGAGTGAAGGTACTCCACAGGGGAGACAGCCTGTTCTGGCAGTGGCACCATCTTCCCAGCTGCCTTCCTAATTCTTTATCTTAGCCAGAGCCATCTGCTTTTTCTCACACACTCTATCTCTAGATGGCAGAGCCATCATTGTTTTAGCCTGTCTTCTTACTCTTGCATCATGTTTTTCTTGGCATACCTTATCTCATATTAGTTGTACTTGTTTGGACACCATTTAGCTCTGGAGTGCCATTATGTTAAACAAATATTAAGTACTATTGAATTCCAAGAACAGCCTTGGATACCAGAGATGTAAAATGAATAGAATGGTTTTAGTTTCAGAGAGTTTATAGTATCATGAGGACGGAGATGACTGTAAAAAATCTGCAGGAGTGCTTGAGAATGTTATGGGAACTATGGCTACCACTTCTGGAAAGTCAAAGAAATCTTGGGAAAGGAAGTGACGATGGTCTGTTTTGAGTGAAAAAATCATAACTCACAGTATAAATGTGCAACATTTTGCAACCACATGAAGAGAATGTTTCTAAGGTTTAATGAAGAGAGGTAATGTAAACAGAAATTAATAAGGTAGGTGTCAGGGGCGCCTGGGTGGTTCAGTCTGTTAAGCATCTGACTTCGGCTCAGGTCATGATCTCACGGTTCATGGGTTCAAGCCCGGCATCGGGCTCTGTGCTTACAACTAGCTCAGAGCCTGGAGCCTGCTTCAGATTCTGTGTCTCCTTCTCTCTCTGACTGTCCCCTGCTCACACTGTCTCTCTCTCTCTCTCTCAGAAATAAATAAATAAATAAATAAATAAATAAATAAATAAAATAAGGTAGGTGTCGGCATGATGGAGAGAAAGGCACACTACAACCTATAGCAGGAAACGGGTCCTCTGCTCACACTACCAACCACAACTTATGTGACCTTCGCCAATCTAGTGAGACTCCTCATGCCCCACTTGACTGCTCACTCAATTCATTCAAATAATGAAATTCAGGTTATAGGCTGTCCTACACTTTTAGGGTACACTCAGGTGAGGGAAAAGTGCCTCTCAAAGCCCCAATCTGAGCCAAGGCTTCAGTTTTGAGTAGGTATTGATCCAGTGAAGAGAAGCTTTGAGAGAAGAGTGCTCCAACCAGGAAGAACTGCATCCATCCTTTGGCCTGAGTCTCAAGGTGAAGGGAGTATATTTCTGAGAGCTCCAAGTCCTAAGTGAGGAGCAATTTCCTCCAGCTGCTGGACCATAGGCATAGGAGCAGCAAGAGGTGAGGCTGGGATGTAAGCAGAATGTAGATCATGCAGGGTGTTGTTAGTCATACTAAGGAACTAGGTGACTTTTGAGAGTGGTGAAAGAGCTAAGGTAGTAAGGTTTGTGTGGCTGGTGTGAAGAAGGGAAGAGGAAACAAAACTCAGGCAGGATAATTAGTGAAGGGGATAATCCAAGCTCTAGATGCTGATGACCTTAACTAGGTTAGTGAAAGAGAGTGAGCAAAGCAGTTGGTCCATAAATTGAGGAGCTATTCAGAGAATAGAGTTTATATGACTAGATGGTCATGGAGGTGAAGGAAAAGGATGTCTGCTGGGCTCTGATTTGTGCAACTAGGTGGATTTTAGTCCTTCTCACTGAGAAAGAAACCCAGAAGGAGGAACAGATTTCAAAGGAATTCAAGAACCTCTAACATGAGGGGATGAAACCATCTCTCCTAGGGCTCTTCCTACCAACCGGCTTTCCACATGCTGGGAATATCACATGGGTTGTCACACTTAGTCTTCTCAGCTGTGGGAGATTGTATTATGTGCTCAAAAGATGTGAAAGCTGAGGCTCAGAGAGCTTAATGCTTTGTATGAGGTCCCTTAGCTAATAAGTCGTGAAGCCAAAAGTTCAAACCAGAGCTAAACCAGGTGTATTTCATTCTAAAGCATGAATACCTTCTATTGTATCACTCTGCTTTCCCTTTGAGTCTGACATGTGTAATTCTGTGAAAATAGGTCACTTGAAGAACACAAATAACTTTAGACTTTATAGATTGTTAAACTGAAGGCATAAACTCTATCTTATAATTGATCATTATCTCTTACCTGGAATACTGCAATTGTCTCCAAACTCATCTCTTGAATCCACTCTTCTTTTCCAAAATGTTCCATTTGCTGCCACCAAAGTGATCTTTTAAAAGTTCAATTTTGATCATCATGCTTTGCTTCAAACACGTTGATGACTCCCCTTTGTTATAAGGATAGACCAAATTCTTAACATGCCCCAATGACACAGCCCCTGTTAACTGACCCACTTCATCTTGTGCCATTTTCCACCTTCTTCTCTGTGCTTAGGCCACACTGGTCATTCCTCAGTTTCTGAAATGTGCTATGCTTTTCTTCTGTGCATGAAATACTCTTCTTTCACCTCTATACCAACTAGCTAGCTCCTTTTCCACAAGGCTCATATTGTCAATGAATCAGGTTCTGATACACTCACAAAACAAACTAATTTTTCATCTAAATCATATTATATTTATACACGGATTTGTGTTGATTTTTTTTTTCTCACACATTAGATTCCATGAAGTTGTTCTATAACTGTTTTGCCAAGCATATAATTGGCA